AATCTTTCTTTGCCTAAATGCGAGCAAAGTACTCCAACATAGTTAAACATTTAGCAACAAGAAAGATAAAACAGACTGGGAAAAAAATATGTGACTGTACCTTCTCTCCACTATCATTACCAACAACCCTGATTTCAAGTCCAACAGAAGCAGCCTCCGGAGCCAGGGGAATCTCCTCATAGTTAAGAAATTGTATTGCACCAGGATCATAACGAAAGAAGCCAAAATCATGGACCTAATAATGATGATAATGACGTGCAACAAACTATTAGTATTCTCTTCCATCTCACCATTGAAAGGGAAAAAAAAGAGCTTTGAAACTGCAAAACAGAAAGTTAAAAAAAATATATGTTAAATCAAATGATAATGTCTACAGTCATTCATGTTGCGGAAAAGACCCTTCCACTGAACTTTTAGAAGTGCACTTCAGCCCAAAGAAAATAAACATACTAGTCACAAATATGTTAAAACATAGAGGAACGAGTTATACTTGACAGGAATTACACTAAAGTGTTGGTGGGTGCTCTTCTCCTTTTTCAACCTGCATTGGGTTTTCTCGGAAGGTTCCAAACATAATGCAACTCCTATATGGTCCTCATCTTCCTCAGAAGGGCCTTTTGATTTGGGTTAACACGGTCATAGCAATTATGTCAAAACTTTGGTTTGAAACGAATCAAAGACTCTTTCATAACAAAAGCAAAGATTGGGTGAAATATTTTGAAGTAGCCAAGTTCGAAGCTTCTCTTTGGTGTTTTATTTTCCCGGTTTTCAAGAACTATACAACTGGAAAATTTTACGATTCTTTCTTTTTTTCTTTTAACAGGAAACAACTTTTCATTGATATATGAAAAGAAGTAAAAGTGTTTAAAAGATACAAATTCCGAAGGAATGAAAATATAAAACCGAAGGAAAAAACAGAACAGAAACGTGAAAAAGAACAACTAGAGACCTAAAAAGGCATCCCAGAAGGACAAATTGTTGTTAGTGAGTAGTCCTTGAAAAGAGTCGATAGTGAGTGCTGTTGAGATGCGTTAAATTTAGCCATGTCAAATCAATCGAACCAATCTCTCTTCTTGTCTTCGAAAAGCCTTTGATTTCTTTCAAACCACAATCGTAAATTAAAGGCTTTTACTGAATTAGACCATAAAAGCCGAGCTCGATTAACGTTGGGGCCACTTAAGTGGGTTAAATTCCTTCTAGCCGTATCAGAAAAAACCCATTGGATGGTGAAGGAAGCAAAGATACAAACTCCCAAAGGAGCGAGAGAGAAAAACTAAAAGAGACAAGCTTCCTAAAGAGAGTACTTAAAGCGATCAAGAATTAAACGGGAGCAACAAAGGCCATCCAAAACAACATAACAAAAAGGATGAAAAACTAGAAATCTAAAAGGGATGCTTTTTTGTAACCTTTGTTAGGGGTTCAGGCCTTTTGATAATGAAATCTTCTTGGTTTCTTATAAAAAAGACACAATTTCAAATTCAAAATCTATCCTAACAATTTATAGTTTTACGTTGCCCTAACTTTCTAGTGAAATAAGAGTTAACAGTTAGAATTTAGAACTTCTTCAATAGATAGAAACCAGACAATTCTCCGATTATCAAGAAATTCGGACTAGATATTAAATCCAACAATATTTGGTTCTTAACAACTTTATCCAAACGTTTTGACTTCTGTTGGCTTTTGCAACACTCCTTTTTTCTTAATTATAACTACTGAAAGGCTTATGCAAAGATTTATACAGCTTCTTGAGACAACGTCTGGCATTTGGAGGATATTTTCTTAACAAAAGTTTTCACTTCCAGGCCTTTTTCCACAATTCCCTTACAAAAGCTTTAGTAGCAAACCCGATTAGTTTGCTAAAATCCATTTAAATGAAGTAGCAAGTGCTTTTAAATCATGGAATAAGTAGACTGACCGGATCTCTATATATAGGTCGCACAGGAACTTCTTCCCTGTTCACAAACATAGCTTCTGCTACTACAGGTCCTGCAAAACCAAATAATGCAAGAAAAATTTTAATAGTAGATGGCCAAATTTTCAAGATTCATGCGACCATAAGTGGCATAGAACAGTATAACCAATGTGTTTTTTGGCTCTTCCTTGGTGTAAAATTGTTTCCTTTCAACAACTGTAGCTCTAATTCACTTACAGATCGGAACAACGAGAATTCTACTAACAGATGGACATCAAAAATAACGCCCCAAAGAACAACCCATTCCTGATTCTTGCTTTCAAAATTCAACAAACGGCATCGTGCAGCATTTTTTCTTGCTTCAAAGAGCTTGAACGAACCCAGATTTACAGGGGGCAGAAATAATTCATACAACATAAAAAAACAATCACGCTTATCAAACAGTTGATCAACTTCATTTGGCTTTTGAAACCCACTATACGTTAATTCCAACGAATTTCAGATTCTAAACAGTGTCGAGAAAGCATAATTTTTATCTTTTTTAAACTTCTGCTACAATCAGCAACTCCAGAACTAAGAAAATGAAATATCATAAATCAAATTCAAAAAAGTACCTGGCTTTACAACATGTCGATTGGTGAGGATAATCCCACGGCGCTTATCCACCACGAATCCAGTGGCGTAGCTCGCACCAGCCGATTCAGTATCGAAGGCCCGACAAGCTGTGGTGCGCAACACAACGACGGCAGGAACAACCTTGTTAAGGGCTTTCCTCCAGTCGTCGGCTGTGGCCAAATTATCGCGAAGGGGGGGGTCGATCTCCATGCAGAGCTCGTCCTTGGCGGTCGAATCAATCCCAATTGCCGCCGATTCCGAACCCAAGGTCTCGGCAGGATCAGCCATGGAATCAATTACTGTCGCTGATTATATCTGCCCCGAGGAATTGGGAAATGAGGAAGAAAATGGGGGAAGAGAGAGAATTTAGGGCTTGATCTGAAATGGGTTTACGGGAAAATGGAAGAGGAAAGTCAAATTCAGTCCATTAATTCGACTGAACTAATAATCTAGATTGTCTTTTGGGAAGAACGAAGATCTCTGTGCTGGTTGGTCACCTTGCCAAAGATGAAAACTTTTTTCCTTTTTCTTCCCCTTTTTAATTATATACGTGAATTGTGAGTTGTGAGGGGCAGATAAAAAATAATAATAATAAATTGGAATGGGACAAATGGGGGATGACGTGGACACGGTGGATGAGCTGGCACTACGTGGCAAACCACGTGTATTTTCTGTTTTTCTTCTTTCTGAATGGGTGGGACTTGGGGAGTAACCTGAAACGTACCTTTTTTTTATTTGGCATTATACAAGGCTCTAATTTCTCTTTTTTTATTTTTCGTTTATTATTTTTTTAATAAAAAATAACTGTGTTAGATAAAAAAAAGCGTGATTATAATGCTTTTATTCTAAATTAATTGGGTTTATTATAAAAGTTTATGTGAAAATTAATTCTTCTAAATTATAAATCAAATTTTTATATTATATTTACTCATTTTATAAATCAATTATAAAATAATATTTTTATTTGTATTTTGTAGGAAATTAGAATTGAGAACAAAAAAAACATGAACCATTGTCATATGTTTATGTCTCTAAAAAAAATGGATATAAGAAACATTAAATGAAATCTACTTATCCTTAATTATCATTTTTAAAAACAAATTTGAAAACAAAGCAACCTAACGAGTTGTTTGGTCTTGCTATTATCTGACAACCAAACTATACACTAATTACTAATATTCATTGGGTGTGTTTATGTCGGATGCTTAAATCAGGGTAATGTATGATAATTCAAACATAGCTTCAAAAGATGTCAACATATGAGCATAGCTCAACTAGTCGATACACCTATTTCCAACCAAAAAGTTGTAAGTTCGAATCTCTCACATATTATGTTGAAACAAAACATAACTTAGCAGATAAAACTTTTATTACCTTGTTAATGTTGAAGATTTAATCTCTCGCCCGCATTTATTGAACTCTAACAAAAATTAGGGTAACGTAGGTTTCAAAAATAAAATTTTAGGTGCCTAAAAAAAAGGTTAATATAAATGGTAGAATTGTATTGTTTGTCGAGCGAACTAGAATACAAGATAAATACTCGTCAAAGAGTAATTGCAAATGTAATATGTTTTAAAAAACATCACGGTGGATTATCTTGATAATAATAATTAATTAGTTTATTTATTATTCAATAAATATTGATTTACGTAACTGATGATACGATTTCGTAACGAATGATTGAGGTAGTTATATGTTTATAAGCATTAATCAACAACCTCCCTACTTTATTTATTTTCATATTATTTTATTCTTCTCTATTAGTTGACTGGATCTCCAATAAAATTAAAATTCAAGAAGTATTTGGCATATTATTATAAACTAAATATTTGAGGAATGTCTTATAGGATTTAGTCAAAATATCAAATCAAAACCAGAAGAAATTAAGTGTAAAAACTAAAGCTTGACGGATGATTATTTAATTAATAACTCAATTGATTAAGGCATACGCACATGTAAACACACATATATAGCTCTTAATTGTTAATTCTTTTAATAATGGCTGACCTAATTCACACCTAAATATTATTCTATATTTATATAGAACATCTTGAAAGATGACTAAATTACATGTCACAGATCCCTTTTTTACTGCAATTTTTGAATTATTATATGATGATTTTTAAACTTTCCATATATATAGAAATAGAATGGTGAAATTTTATGTTGGAAATAGAAAAGTGTCCTATGGAAAGAAGCCACAATAGCAAGATCAAAATTTAGGGCAAGATAATTGCATTTTCAATCTTCCGCATTGCAAAAAACCACTTACAAACCCTCAAGTCTTTTTCTTTTTTATATATAATATGAGGATGAAAATTCAAACTCATAACTTATAAACCCTCAAGTCTTTTTCTTTTTTATATATAATATGAGGATGAAAATTCAAACTCATAACTGTTTTGTCGAATATAAATATTTAACCCGCTCGGTGATGTTAAAGTTGGCACTATACTCTAAACTAAACATCAAATTTTCAACAAAAATCTCTAGGTCACCGTTGATTAAATTAATTTCTCGGAGGGATTCAAATTCAACAGCAAAAAGGTACTAACCCTTTGACTAAAAAAGGCTGAAGATATCAAAAAAATTATATAAAAAGAAAAACGAAAAAATGAAAGAAAAAAAAACCCAAGAAATGATGCGCGAGTTCACATTAAAAATACAAATGAATGACGATCTCGCTCGCATGCTAATTTTCTTGCTTTAGCAGTCAAAATTGAGGGCAAAGAGCCCGCCGGTGGTCACGTTTTCCGGCTGCCGGTGAGGCAGGAGCTGCTTCTGGTCAGCTCCCTATTGGCTTCACTAGGTCAAATACGAATCCTCCGGCGAGTGCTCCGATCAACGGCCCCGCAATGTAAGCCCATAGTCCTCTGAATTCATGCCTCACTATCGCGGGTCCAAGGGTCCTCGCTGGATTCATTGACGCTCCAGAAATCGGCCTGTGTTTCGAGGATCGTTAACAAAAAATAAGTAAAAGTGTGTTTGAGGGGACTTTTGAAACATTATTTTAAATTTCCTTTTACAAGTTATAAAAGTCATTTACAATGGTTAAATGATAAGGATAGAATGTAGAGTTACCCGGCAACAAAAACGTTTAAGAGAATGGTCATGCCAACAATAACTCCACCCAATTCTCCTACCTGTAAAGTATGGAAAACGCCTTAAAAATATATACTAGAATGATTTGTTAACTTGGATATAGTTCAATTCATTTTGTTCAAATAACTTCTTTGTCCAATCTACAAATGAAAGAAAAAAAAAAACTTTTGTAATCTGTAGAACCCAATAATGATGCTATTCTTTTATTTCAGAAAGAAAAAAACATTAGAATTATTATTTATTTTTTAAACATCTTACACTTAGAACATGTTTTCAAAATCCACTAAATTTTTCCATACAAAATTAACACGACACCCTTCAAAAGCTTATATATATTTTTATAATAGAACTAATAGTTCAACACTATTATTTAAAATATAGAAAAATAAGAATGCAACAAAAATCTTATATAGACAATAATATATACATGAGTTAAGATATTTTAGATGAAATAAAAAATAAGTTACGAAAATTTCGGTTAAAATAGACAATATTATACTATTGCAATAGTCTGGTCCCTAATAAACCATCTTAATTATTAGGTTATAGAAAAAATAAAAAGTTGCAAGTTTTTGGATGACTTACACCGGTGTTATTGGAGGTGGCAAAAACAACAAACAGCAAGAGGAAGGTGATGATGATTTCAAGAACAAACGACTGAACATTAGATCCAGCAGGCACAGTCCCGTAGAATGCTTCAACGGTCACATCAAACACTAGATCCAATGTGCAGCTTGCAAGAAGTGACCCTGATACTTGAGCTACTATGTAAATTGGAACCTAAAAAAATTATTCAGTATGTACCATCAATCTCATTATTATCATGAAATAAAACTGAACTATTAATTTATATTGTTTCCGAAATCTAGGGCCGAATATCAGTCGGTCAGTTTGTCGAAAAAACGCTGTTTTTTAATTTTCACATCCGTTTTTCAATTTATTTCCACATTATTTCTATTCAATTTTTCTTGCATATAATGTTTGCCATTATCGTTTACATCTATAGCTCGGGTTTCAAACCTAATATCTAAAAACATAAAAACTAAATTAAAAAATGAAAAATTAAATTTAATCGATAGTAGGTTGGAATTTAGGGGTTCATGATTGTTAACCTATCCCAAATTATGTAATCCAAAAGAAATTCTGAAAACAATTTTTTTATGTTTTCAATATTATTCAAAATTTGAATATAAAACTTAAAAATGCATAATTATATTTAAAAATATAAAAATTTTGATATTTTGTATTAAAATTAAAACTTGTAAAATATAATATATTATAAATTATATAATATGGTAAAATACTAATTATAATAAAATTTATGTTAAGATGAGCGTAGTTCAATTATACTCCTTCCCTCCAAGATAACTATACTCCTTCCCTCCAAGATTGGAGAATCCTCCATATCCTCAAATAGAAATAATTGCACTAAATTATAATATTTATAATATTGATGTTAATAAATTAACTAATAATATTTTGGATTAAACTATATATTTAGCAGATAACCAATCACTTATAAATATATTAAAAAATACACATAGATTTTTTTTTTAAATTGAGATTCAATTTTAATATTTACTACAGAAAAAACATGGAATTACTTTATTTTGATTGAATCCCTTTTTCAGATTTCTATTTCTCAATTTCTATTTTCACATCACGATGAGTACTAACCAAACCGCCTAAAAGTTATAATTCTCACTGATTTGCAATTTGCGATATGGAATATTTGAAAGAAGAAAGAAAAAGAGAGTGAAGAAGGGAGACCTGCCACCAGGGGAAGCCACGAAAAATGGCGAGTGTGATGGTAACTGAGGGGTTGAAGTGCGCTCCAGAGATGTGTCCCACTGTGTAAATCATAACCATAACAATCAATCCCCAAACCACACATATTCCCGGAAAAGTCACCGATCCTCCGTAGATCTTGTTCACCGCCACCGATCCGCATCCGGCGAAGATCACGAAGTAAGTTCCGATCACCTCCGCCATAAACTGCCACAAAAATTTCCAAGATAAAAGAACAGACACACGTTTTATCACTGATCAGTCAATTTATTAGCGATTCATCTACCGCAATTTCAATTAATTATACACTCAATTGATTGATTCATGTGCCGCGACTTCCATCGAAACGAACAAGTTTCATTATACGGTCGATCGATTCATGTGCCGAATTTTACAGAGAAACAAACACATTTTACTTTGCATACTCGATTGATTCGTGTGCCGAATTTTACAGAGACAGACGCATTTTATGATCATACAATGTTGATTGATTGACGAGCCACATTTTACAGAGAAACGATTGATTGATTAAGAAATAGACAGCGGATTGATTGATTGATTAATTGATTTAATTTGATTTGATTAGAGGTACCTTTTGGATGCATGCGACGATAGATGCGGGACAGAGACGGGCGACGCGGACGGCGATCGTACCTTCTTCCAGCCGTGAGATTTTATCCTCTTCGACTCCATCGATCTTCGACGCCATTGTCGATGTATTCTCTGAAGTAACAACAGTTTCGATCGGAACCCTTGAACACGATTTCTTTTCACTTTGAAACTTGAATCGCTCTTGATTTGTTGCTGTTGTTCTACTTCTTCTGTGCCTTCTTTTGAGGGTTTGTTAGTTTAACTAGTTGATCTGCTCTTTGTTAATTTTAATGCTTTATTTATACCCCACGCTCGCCTATCTCCTTTTCCTATTATAATATAATAATTTAACAGATATCCGTGTATATATATATATATATATTTTAAATGGATTTAGATTTTTTTAACTTCTTTAAATTGATTTATAAATCGAAGAGATATTTATGAAAATAAATAAATAATGGATTAATTGAAAGGTTTAAATACTATTTTTGTCTATGCATTTTTAAAATTTTAATTTTGATCTCCTAAACTCTTTACTATTTACATTGATCCTTATTTACCACTAAATCATTCCCATGGTTTTTTCCATTATTATTATTGGAAGAAAACTATAAATTTGGATATTGTAGAAGATATATAATTAATCAATTGTATTCAAAAGAATGCCTACTTGAGTATTAAATTAAGACATTAATACTCCATCCAAAGTTTTTTATATATATATTTAATAAGATGGAAATTTATATTTATTTTGGCCTTTGAAAAAAAGAAAAAGAGAAAATTATATTTATAAAATAGAACCGTGTCCAATTAAGTCCCTAGAAATTTGAAAAGAATCTAATAGGATTCTTTCCATTTTGTGTATATATATATATATATATATATATATATATATATATCTTTTTTTGAACAACCATTTTGTGTATATAAATTCTTGCCTATATATATATATTTTTTTTTTCTTTTTAAATTCATGGATCTATTAACATATTTTGTTTTCAGCACAAGTAAAAATAATTAAACCTTCTGTCTAATAAAACTCGAACCAAATTATAGTTTAACATTTTATTAATTTATTATATAGTTCAATAAGAAATCATAGTTGAACAACATTTTATGTTTTTTTTAGAATAAGAAAAAAACGTAAAACAAAAAAATTAAACCCAATTGGTAATGGTTACCACTTTATTTTTATTTCTATTTTTAAAAATTATACATATAAACACTTAATTTCTCCTCTGCATTTATTTACTTCGTTACATACTTTTTGAAAATATTTTCATAATCTAAACCAGAATTTAAATACTAAAACAAGGTAATTTTTTAAAACTCATTTTTTATTTTTAAAATTTTGGCAAAAAAATACAATGTCTCTCTTAAGATATGTGAAAACATAGCAAAGAAACTGAGATAAAATCAATACAAGTTTTCAGAAAAAATATCAAATAATAAGGATTTGACAAGGTTTGGGAGATTTGTTTTCTAAAAAAATTATGTCACCTAAACAATAGATTTTTTTTATGTTTAATTTAAAATTTGTAAGATGCATAATTACATTAAAAAGATAAAGTTGTTCATAAATTTATTACTTAATATTATAAGTTATGAAGTTATTTTATATTCATTAAAATTAAAACATGTAAAATATAATGTATTTTAAATTATATAACATTGCAAAATAATAATTATACAAAATTCATTAAAAAATGTTAATAAATTAATTAATATAAATTTAAATTAAACTAAATATTACATATATCTCGATTTCTCAAATCGAGAGGGTGGGAGTTCGATAACCCACCCCCTCAGATTGTACTAAGAAAAAAACTAGTGTATTAATGGTTTCAAATATCTTTTACGTCAACATTTTTACATGACCATGAATTTAACATTACAAAATATAAAAAAAAAATATCAATGATGTGGCATAATATCAATAAGTAAAAAAGATGTTGGTCTATTTGTTAATTTATCTTTTCATAACATCCATCAATATTTCCATAAAATCGAGACCTCAATATTTCCATCAATATTCAATATTATATATATAATATGTAGTAAAAAAATTAATTCGTTCATGAGAGTTTGCAATAAGAATTTAGATTATTCAAACACTTAGCAAATATCTGTAATAAAAAGGATCACATATATTTTACCACTGAACCAAATTAATTTTTTTACAACATATTATATGTAAAACGGAATGTACTTAAAAGGATTTTTATGAGTGAAACAATAAGAGATGGCACCTAGTGGAGTTTTAACCCCTTGTGTACTTTTTTGTAACGCGGTTGGGCAAGAATACTCGACATTTAAAACCAGGATTGTATTTCATCCATTCAACTAGTTTAGTAATGAGAATAACGGTCTAATTGTTCAACTCTCCTAGAAGTTTTGAGGCAATTTCAAGATCCTTAATAAAGATTCATAGTGAGACCCAAGCAATTTATTAATTAAAACCATTTTTCACGGCTAAACTGCCCAGGAAACATACTTCTAATATCAAGATTCAAGAATATCCAAATTCTAAACCAATGTCTATTCTGATACAGCTACAAGTACATTCAGTCAATGACATCCTGAGTCGACTAGATGTGTCCTTTCTTGATCGATGAGTGAGGAATTGCAATGAATGACTAGACCGACTTAACCTAAAATCCGAGCTCTCCCATCTCTTGGTGAATCTAATAGAAAACATGGACCTACTTTATTTTTTTCTTCGAACATACAACATTGCAGAAGTTAGAGATTCGAACCAAGAACTGGAGGGAGATTGCACTTCACAGAGGCACGTGTAAGCCAACGGACCATAAGCTACTAGAAAACACGAACCTACTAGAAAAAGAGAATCTTGAATCCCTGGTATTTGTACCCAAAAATACTCTAAAATGTTACCTCCGAAGCAAGTGAGCATTTATATAAGTTGCATCATGGTCATTGAGCTACGGAGCAAGGAGGAGTTGTTTGACTTGCCTCGATCGACATCCTGTCATTTTTAGCAAAAGAAAGCAAGTTATACAACAACGTAACCTATAAGAAGTGCAAATCAGATCAATTAACCCAATATTGCCTTTGTCTAATCTATACGTGTGCACATGTACTTGAATATATATATATATTATCCATGTAAAACATTGAAAAGACTCGTGAGGGTACAATGACCATATCGCCAAAAATAATAATAAATTTCCTTCAACTTATCACATAATTTGAATTCGCTAACAAAACAAATGGATTCATATCAGAGACAAAATCAAGTAGGTCCCCTCATTCCTACAACTAAATTGCATACATCTCGATTAGTTCTCCAGGTACACTACAATATTGGGTTATAAAAAATTTGTAAGATATCTCAATGTCTTAGATAAATGATGTCAATTGTCAATAACTTCAAAAAGGGTAAAAATAATAAATAATTCACTTTTAATACAAAGTAATTGTAGACTAAGAGACTTACTACAAAAACTTCAATTAATGATTCTCGTCTCATGAATGGGCAAATTGAAGAGCTCTAGTTGTAATAAGACTTGAGCATTTATCAAGCTGCTATTGTAAACAATTCTTTAATACCCTAAACCATAAGCAAGTACATGTTCGAGTTTTAAACAAACTTTAAATTATTTGAATGACTACAACAAAGGAGACAACCCGACAAAATGATACATTATAAAGATGGATGTGATTTCATGAATAAATGCAGAAACGCAATCCGTTGAAAACCTCTAATTGACTATAGCATCTATTAAGCAACATATATAAATCAGGGAGGACTTACTGGTTCTCAACATGCAATTTCTTACGCGCCTTTCTCCTGTTCTTGGACCGCTTTCTAGACCCAGTCGCATGATCACCTACAGGTTCCTCTAAAGTTGAAGGCACATATTCTATAGGGAGTCTCACTGAAAGGGGTGATGCTTCTGGTTTAAATTCAGGTTGAAAATGAGATGTTGTGGGAGGAATCTCTGAAATTGCACCAGATACAACTTCATCAGTCAAACTAGCATTTTCGACATATATATCTTCATTAACTGTCATTCCAACATGTCCTTGCTCTGACTTTTCAGACATGGGTTTGGATTGAATTTGTGATGGAAATGAATCTTTAACCTTTTGCAACGTTGCATGGAGTCTGACTTTAGAAGCAATAATTTTAGTAAGGGTTTTTTGTGATTCGGGATTTCCTGCATCACCTGTAAAAAAATTCGACAACTTTCGCAAGGCAGCAGGTATTTTGGAATAATTCACAAGTATTTGTTCACAACAATTAAATACCAATAAGTGATAGTATAGCAGCACGTGCTGCCAATTGCTCGGCCTCTTTTTTGCTCCTACTAAGATTGCCGGTATAAACCACACCATCAAAAACCAAGGTGGATTGGAAAATTGGAACTGAGCCGTCGTGATGATTTGTTGTGTAAAGAGGTCTTTTCAAGTTCATTTTGACCGTATATTCAGATAAAATGGACTTACAAAACATCAAATCCTGAACAAAGAACAAAAAAACATAATTTGTACATTAGACAAAAAAATGATAAAAAGTACTCCAACAAAAATATATATGTGTTTATCTTTTCAACATATCAATGATGAGTATTTCTCAAAAAAAAAAAAATCAATACTGACATGGAAAAGTTACTAGTACTTGATATCATAATCTAGCCTGAATGAAATTTTAAAACAGTCAATGACAATCAAATCATAAGTAAATGCACCATTAAGATGACAAGGACACAAAACTATTGCCTTGATCGAATTGAATTATAAAGTAAATTATCGCCTAATTAAGTTATAATGTTGGTGATCTTATTCTTCGGGTGAAGGTAGAGCTCATCTTAGTGTGAAGTTTTAAATAAGTGAATAGTAGTTTCCTGTTTCCACAGACTCAGAGTAAAAACCTCTATTCTTTCATCCTTCGGTTGGCCTATAGTCCTACACACGGATCTCTGTTCTCTTCTAGCATCCACTCTTCTGGAGCACCCTTTCACCAGTGAAGCAGGAATCCTATGGAAGCATTTTGTTAGGGCACTGCTTTGGTCGACATGGTTAGAAAGAAATCGCCGGATCTTCTTAGGAAAGGAGCTTTCTGTTGGCATCATTTTTGAATCTATAGTGTCTATGGTTGTATCTTGGTGCAAATGCTCTCCTATCTTTAAACACTATAGCTTTGTTTCTCTTTTAACCATTTGGAGAGCCTTTTTGTAACTCCTTTGGTTTGGGATCTTCCCCTTTTGTATTCCTTTTCCATTTCATTACATTAATGAAATCTGTTTCTTTTCAAAAAATAATAATAATAATAATAATAATAATAATAATAATAAAAATAAATAAAAATAAAATAAAATAAAAAA